CTCTCTTCTCGCTCTCTCTCTCCATTGTCTATGTCTGTGTCTTTGTATAATCCACACCACACGATATTGACAATTTAAAAGTGTCCCATCAGCGGAGAGCGGTGGCGCAGGCCCACCCTCAGCTCTCTGAGAGGTGGCGATAGGCGAAAGTCTGTTGAGGGCTACAGTGGCCAACACAGTGAGGGCCTCTTTTAAAAAGAAAAGTGTGCAGTGAACAGGCTCACAGCGTCCGCAGCTGCCGCCGCCATCTAGTCCTCGCCAGCCCGCCGTCTGCAGGCGCTCCCACCACGCCGCGCCGTCCGCAGCTTCCCTACGGGCCGGCGGGCCGCCTGCTGGGCTGCGGCGCGGGGCTCCAGCGGGGGCTCCAGCACCGCGGCCTCGCTCCTCCGCACCTCCGCTCGGGTCCCACACCACGCGGCTGCCGGCGGCTCCCGCCTCTCCTCTTCTCCTCTCGGGGCTCGGGGCTGAGCCCCGGGGATCGCGTCCCGGGGCGGGCGGCTGCGGGGAGCGCGGAGGGCGCGGGCGCAGCAGCACCGGGGGCGAGCGGGCGAGCGCACACCGCGGGGCCGGGCGCAGGGCCGCTTCCCCGCCGCGAGACGGCCGGCCGTCCTGGGCCGCGGGCCTGCACCACGCTCGCGGCGAGCGCCAGGGCCACCACGCTCGGCCCCGCTCGGCGGAGGGCGCCAGGCGACGCCACCCGGAAGCCGAGGAGCATGCGCGCGCCTCGCCGCCCGGGCCGACCGCGCGGCGGATTACTCGGGTCGGGAAAGGAGAACTAGAGCGCGCTGGAACGCACTGGCCTGCATTCCGCTTCCTCGCTCGCGCTTTGCCTTCCGCGAACTCCTTACTGTCTCAAATCCCCACGCAGGGCCGTGTCCCGCCGTCCCCTCTGTAGGAAATTCGGTCTTTGTGGGTTGTTTCTGCAGGGGATCTGCAGCCCAAAGAAACTGGATATTTCACTTACCTTTTCTATGGACTACTCTTTGAGATTAAATTATCACCTCTATTTATTAATATTTTGGAGGCACTTCTGAACGAACTAAGACTTCCCTAGCCTCTTTCTCCACTCTTGGAGCTTGTTGGCACTGGGAATAAGATATGTGAGATCTGGAAGGCGACAAAGGAAAGACTTCTAGGGACCTTCATTCATTACATTCAGGCAATCACTTAGGGCTGACTGTGTTCCGGGCACTGTTCTAGGCAGTGAGAGTGAGGGACTCAGCATCTATCTCAGAAGAAAAAACCAGAAAGCACTGCTGCTCATAAGCCTTTCAGTACTCACTTCTAGCCGAGTCTTCCCCATCGTAGAGAATCGTAGGAAGAACCCGAGCCCCGTTTCCTCTCCCCCACAAGCCTTCATGTGATAAACCAACGGAAAGATTTTTGAATGAATAGAATGAATATGTCGACTATATGCCCAGGGAGTCTAAAATCTAGTGCTATTTTGTCTTTGTTATAGGTGAGTGGGGAGGGATGCTTCTTTATGAATCATTTAATAATATTTTCATGGAGGATTTCAGTGAGAAAGCTGGCTGAATTTAGCAACCCAGGATTCTTCTACCTATCCACCTGTGAGGCACTGAGGCTGATTAAAGAAGTGTATACAGTTAAAGCTATTTTGACAATCAAATAGTTATTGTCAATTGTAGTACTTTCAAGCTCTAAACAAGAATAGTTAGGCAAGATAGATTTGTACTTAGACATAAAGAGGCCTACGGTTGGGGAACTGAGAAAATAAGATTTCAAGAAGCTAAATAATTAAATGAAGATATGAAGTTTGTGGTAGAAATAGAGAGAGATGGAGTTAGTGTTTTCTCTTTGTTAGGAAAAGTAGCTCTCAGGAAGGGTGGTGCTCTGGCTGGTACCAGCCAGGACCCATTGTGCAGTGCAGTCAGAAAGTGATGTACATTGTGTAGGTTGTTCTGTTCACACAGAAGAACTGAACTTTTTTTTTTTTGTATAGTCTTACATAAAAAAGTAGGTGAGTATTACTGTGCCATCAGGAAGGATAAATTTGAGGCACTCATAGGTAAATGGATGCACTGCCACACCATGTGGAGCGAAATAAACCACACACACAGGCTTATGTATCCCATGGCTTCTCTTATGTAAGAAACCCAAACTATAAATAAAGAGCCAAGTAAAAGATCATAGGACGCAGGGAGATCTTTGTCAAGTTGGAGGGGGAGGGGAGCGCAGGGGAAAAGGATGTCAAATTAATTGAAGGAAAAATGGAAATAGAGCTTTTGCAAGTGGGAAAGGGCAACAAGGGTGGGAGGAAGCAGGGGGCTGGGGGAGGGGTTGGAAAAACAGTGAAGACGTCTTAGATAGGTGTTCACATTTCCCCAAGATGAATGTAATAATGTGCTGCAGACATGTATAAGGAAAAAGTAGCAACAACAAAGTCCGTCGGTTGTGTATAAGGTAAAACAAATAGAGAAATAGAGCTGGACATTGTGGCCCACGCTGATAATCCCAGCACTGAGGAGGCTGAGGCAGGAGGATTGCTCTGAGTTCAAGGCTAGCCTAGGCTACAAATTGAGTTTAAGGCTAGCCTGATTGGAATAGTGATACTCTGTCTCAAAAAGAAAAGAAGAAATTACTACTTTCTATCAGTTTTTTT